AACGTCAAGCTCTTATATTGTTTCTTAACATCAAAACATGAGGCTTAGCAAACCAAGGCTAACAATCTCCCCCTTTTTGATGTTGACAAACAATACACTTCAAAGTGTTTCAAAGTGGAAATTTGACTAGCTTGGAAATCATTAGCTCTAAAATTCTGGAAGAAAAGAGTCATTGACAATAATAATCGAGTCCTTTCATGGGGTTGTTGTTGTTGGTGTTTGATTTGTTGAACATTTTAATTTTGATAATTTTATAACATGATAAATTATTGTTGGAAATTTTCACTTTAGGGTTAAGTTTAAGGTGGAAATTAAATGGAATTTTCTGGACGGATAGGCAAAGTGCCATATGACTGAGGGTTGTATGTGATTTTTTTCCTTCTATTGGAAGAGATTCTTTTGATGAACATGCATTGGAAAAGGATGAGTTCCTGAAAAAGGATTACATTACATAGTTGATTGAGGTGCTAAATATCTTTTAGGAAAATGCCTAAACTAAATGGGGTTTCTTTTTAATTTTTAATGCTAAGTGAGGTTGTTTGGGGGGTTCCTCTCAAAATCTCCGCTCCTAGCCTCCTACGGCAGTGTCGCCTCTTTCTATGTCGAAATCTCACAGAAGAGGCATCTGCTCCTCGCCCTCTCAAGAACTCATCCATCCCGACCTTCACCCTTCTCTCGCCGGCGGCGAGACCCATTTATCACGGTAATTCATCTTCCCAGCTACCCTTAATTAGGCATTCAAAACACAAATTAACATATTCAATTTATATTTTTTAAAAAATTTTATGAATTTGTTCATTATATTTAGTTGATTACTATCTTGTTCACTAGTTTTAGTATTTTAAATCCCTTCCCGAGTCATACGGATGAAAGTGAGTACATAGTGTTACTTACTGGACATCAACTAATTCATTCATTTTTAAATTCCTTAATGGATAGAGTATTACTTAATGGGACAACAACTAATGAAATTGACTACAGAGTATTACTTAATGGACAGAGTCATTTGTATTTCTAATTGATTTTTATATGCCTACAGAGTATATGTAATGAATTAGTTGTTGTCCCTTTCCAGTTTGGCAGTGTATATGTAATGAATTAAGTGTATGTATTATTCCCAATTTATACCGAAACCGATACCGAACTATCCCGGACTATACCGAACCGAAGTTTTGGGATCGGGATCGGTACTACGTAAAATCCCATACCGAACCGAAATATTTGGTACGATATCGGTACGAGTTAAATACCGTACCATACCGTACCATGCTCACCCCTACCCATTTGTATCCCCTCTATCTGGTGAGGGGAACAAGAGTTGCCTCTCCAAATGCTGAAGTGATTTTGCATTAGCATACCTATAATAATAATATGCTGCCCTTTAGTAAATACTGCTCAAAATATAAGTATTTTTGTCCATGTAATATACTCTTGAATACGGTGAAATAGAGGTCCTTTGCTCCAATTACTTCTCTAATTTTGACTGAATTTTCTTATCACGACATAAATTCAACTTTGCTTTAGAAATAGAGAAAAGATCGAAATTTAAGTAAATCACACGAAGAATACTAGTTTTATACCCTGTGCTTAGCATGGGCTAAGGTAATACTGCAAATATTTATTGGGTGTTAATAGTTTTTAGTATATAATCCAGTTTTTAGCATATATCACTGATAAGGTACACTTATGTATTATTCTATATGAAAAACAACACATCAAATATAATGAAATTTAGATTCTTTAGTGTACATAGTACTTCTTCCTAAGAAATAAGCTTTCAGAGATGGATTATTTTAGGATGCATGGAGTAGAATTGGTGTAATAATTACACATTAAAATAGTTCTTTTGACCTTGGAACCTCAGCGAAATGGGGAGGGAGGGGGGCTGGGGGTAGGGTTTAAGAGGGGGGTAAGAGTCATCAATTTTACAAACCAAGCACCGTAGGTGCCGAGGTTGAAAGATCCTTGCCAATCTTACATTAATACAGTGGTATATGATTACCCCTCTTCTTATCAATTGCCCATTATATTAACAATCTACTTGAGTAAAAGGCAAAATATAATCAAGGCTCTAGTTATACTTGTGCTTGAATCATTGCTCATATCCACTTCATTCGAAGTTATTCCATGTTTTCATGTTAAGTACATTCATCTGATCTAGCCCATTTTCTACTTTTACTTCTTCTAATGTTCCCTCATCAAAATGTGTTCATGTGAGTCTTCGCCCTTTCAAACAAAACAAACATACGGCTTCTGGGAACCATAATGATGTAATGTATTTTCCTCCATGGGTTTTACTTCAACTTGCAAATCTGATGATTGAGGACTGACGGTAAGATCGATCACAGGTAATCCAAAAGGGTAATTTTTCAAGTTTATTGGTTTCTAGAATAGTGCTAGGTGACACCTCCTTCAAAGTCTAAAGTTGGGACTCATTCTGAACCTACAAAACTGAGTCCTTGCAGTGCCAATTGCCAAAGAGCTTCCAAAAACAATGTGTTTCCAAAGTCTAAAGTTATTATACTGCCAACTTTTCCCACCACATTCATCTTCTCCAACTAAGCTAAAAACTGAAGTCACACAAAAAAAATTGATTATCAATGCAGCTCTTAGCCTCTTACCAATTAAGGGAAGATATCTGCACCAAACATCAAGAATATAAAGATTAGTCACGACTCACACATTGATACCAAACTATGTGAACTAAATTGGCCAGTGGATTGATATGATACACCGCATCAGGCCTAAACCTATAATGACCCAATAAAGACTACTTTTCTAAGGAAAAGTCTTTCTACTATGAGAGTTTTAATGCTACATAAAATCTTGATCCTTATTCCTTAAGAATGGTTGCTAAAACATAAAAACGAATCCCTTCATCTTGTGCACCATAAATGTGGGAAGAAGTCCATAAATTTCATGATTTATGTCGGGGTTTTTTTTTAGTCAGTGGTCATAAAAGTGCTGCTCATTGACATATTACAGGTCTGCTAATCTGCTTCCAATTATAAATTTTGATCATGAAAGCAATAAGTGTAGCATAGAAGAAACACCTTGCCCAGCAATTCACATGATATAGGTGGTCTCGGATTTATTACATTTAACAACACCGAGGATGTATATGATGCATTTGATCGATATTGCTTGCTTAGGGAAGAGAATATAGGGGAAAATGTGTTCACTATGGCATTTAATTGCATGATGCTGAAATTTTAATTATTTATATTACCAACAAACGTTCCAAGAAATATGTTTAAATTAATCAATAAGAGTTTACGTTCCTCACATAACAGAAAGAAGACTAATAATCGGGACGGATCAAGTAAAAAAGTAACATATCCTGCATAGCTATAAAGTGATTTTGAACAACTATCCCCTTGTTACTTAATTCTATTATTATAACAATAAAACTTCAGCATATCATCTCACCAAAACTAAAGCTTCTCATTCCTCAACACTTTAACATCCTCATTGGGAAAAACTGTATTCTATGAAGAATTGGGCATATGGAAAATATGGTTCAAAGTTGGAAATACGCAATTGCAATAGTGCGAACCTCAAAGGTCTCTTTTTATTCAGTGATCATTTGTGTACTCTTCAGTGTTGTTATATGTGGAACCACTTTTCTGTGTTTTCATAAGGTAAATTCAAATGACACGGGACAATCATATAGGAACCCACAGAAAAGTATATAACAATTTGCATAAAATAAAAAATACATTACCTCACTCTTCTGCAGAAAATTACTAGCGGGTGACGCGAGTTTTGTTGAAATAACTCTCAGGTCCCTCTATTTTCAAGAAGACAGCAGAGGTCCTTACATTTTGTTGTAATGACTGGAAGGGGACATTTCATCCAATATTTCATCTATAAACGTTAATAAATGTATTTTTTTCCTATTCTTTTCTAAATGTTTTAAGGTAATAAATATTAGATCGCTCCTTTTTTTATTTCTTTGTTTTTTTTCATTTTGTTACTATTTTTTAAAATGTTATTTTAGAATTTCTTCTATAAAATCATATAAAAATTCAAAATTATTTGTATTATATTAAAACAAATGAAATAAAAAAAATTTATAAAAAGAAAAAACAAGGTAATGGCAAAATAGGAAAAAAAGGTATTGGAAAAATAGGAAAAAAATACATTTATTAACACCTACGGATGATGTATTGGATGAAATGTCTCATCCCAGTCATTACAACAAAATATAAGGACCTCGGTTGTCTTTTTGAAAATAGAGGGACTTGAAAGTTATTTCGACAAAACTCGCGTCACCCGCGAGTAATTTTCTGCACTCTTCTGCCTGGATTCTAAAATAGATTCTTCCAAAACCTTAGTTGCTGTGAAACTCTGCCAATCATCATGTGTAGCTTATATTTCAAATCTCCATTCTGAAACAGTTGATTGGTATGTTAAACAGTGCGCAACAACAACAACAACCCAGTTAAATCTCACAAGAGTAGGGTCTGGGGAGGGTGTCTGTATGCAGACCTTGCCCCTACTCGAAAGTAGAGAAGCTGTTTCCAAAGAGACCCCCGGCTCAACGTCGAAAGTTGCATTGCTTGACTAACTGCTACTTCATTAATTAAAGAAGCGCAGACGGTTTAGAGATCTATTTTGATTTATTCCATCACACCTCAAAGCCAAAAAATGGTGAAATTTTGGCTCCATCTCCAATTTGTCTTGCATATCATACGCGCTCGCACCATATTGCCCTAAGATTTTCTCAGTCTCAACATCCAATACTATGAACCTCATACATCCCTTATCATCCTTAACCCCAATCTCGAGCCGATATTTGAAAATGCACAATGAAAGATATTATTATGCTACCATGCACTTGGCCATTTGTAAAACACATACAAACTTTTTTTTAAATAAAAAAGCGGATTTTTAAAATTTGATATCCCTTGTGTAGGTGATTAAGAACAATACTCAAGAATTAGTTACTAAAGCTTTTTCAGACCATAGTTTTGGGGACACTTGTTTAGGGTAACATCATTTATCATGTTCTGAAAATAGTAAATTTTAAAATTGTTTCATTTAAGATGTTTTTTAAACCTCTCTTAAACTTGCTTTCTACACGCACTGGTTTTCTTAACTTTTTGCCCCGCTGGGGGTATATATAATTGAGTAGGTATTCTTCAAGTGAAACTCTATATATCAAATGAAACTCTATATAAGGTACTAATGGACGTGAAGAAGAAAATATGGCTGAGCTTGTAGTCCTGATGTTTTTGTTGATCCTACCATAACATCTACAGTTGGTTTCCCGCAACTTTTGATTGTGGTCCTCCTCAACCGTTGGCAGTCTGTTACTCTTAACTTCCTGATGTTGTTGATCCTCCCGGCCGGATTGTCAAACACTGATTTTACGCAACCTCCCCGACCTTTTGCAGCTGACTATCCAAAATATTTTTCATGGGGAATTGTTTGCTTGCCGGCTTTCTCTAACAGCCACCTCCTTCTTAGGCCTTCTCCCATCTTTAACTGCAATGAAGATGATAATGCACCGATATTTTTTCCCCTCCAACTTGTCCCTCTCAACAAACAGAAAGAATAAAATAGTATGAAAGATATTAACTAAAAGCTTGTTTTAGAGGGTCTGCTGCAATGTCAGCTCCATCTAAAATACCAATATGAGTAAATTTCAAGGTCATTCAAGACATTCCATTGCACAATAAAATGACTATGAAAGAGGTTAAAGAGTTACATCCAAATGGCTCTTGGATGTATAGCTACTTTGCAGACATTATTAAAAAAAAAAAAAAAAGTAAACTATACTGACCCAGTTATCAACCCCACAAGCCAAACACTGCCTAAGATTTCACACTCTTCACAACACCTAGGCAGAGCACCCCCAGAAGGCCAACACCAAGAACCTTGTTACCCACGATGAATTCCCCAGCATCACGCCACAATTTCTTGAACACCCGGAAAACTGAAGACATATGATTCTTGGTTGGACGATCCCCTTCTAGCACCTGTGGGAAAACCACCATGTACTTGAAGCCGTCAAAGAAATATAAATCTCGTGCAAAAATCCTCTTTCCCAATGAAGCTTCAAGCTCGTGGTATGAGATTAGGGGGCCAGGAAATCCTCCATCATCCGATAAATGACCCAGGTCAATCACCTCTATATTTCGAGTACTCCATCTAGACATTGCGATTGTGATGTTACCTCTGTCATCAAACCCACAGGAGAACTGCATAATTGCTCCAAAGTCCAAACCAAACCGACAAGTATTGGTTGTGAGGAAAAGTTCAATCCCAGGACCTTAGGGTTCGATTGCAAGGAAGACGAAGAAGGAAAGTTGGAGCACGTATCAATTCGGCTACAGCAAACGGTGAGAGAGAAAATTGCACATCGATCGCGGGGGTTTTGCTTCTTCCAACCCTAAGTTAGAAAATATTTTATTTTATAAACAAGTTATAACAAGAATATTTTATTAAATGATTATTAAAAAACATACGCAAACAAAAATTAATGTGATATCTTGAATAGTAAATAAGAATTGTTAAAAAAATAGAGCGAGTACAATCAGATGAGACTAGAATTAATTTTCTAAAAATTGGATCGGACATCAACCCGGACAAATCACTAGGTCAAGGGTAATACACCAAGGGGGCAGTAATTTGGACAGGAATGCAGGATAGGAATGAGTGGGGAAGTAGGGTAAGATGGAGGGTATTTTGTGAAAGTCAAGGAAATTTTTACATTTTCTTAAAGTGCATGCCCGGTCAAACCGAGAACTTTAATTATGGACTAATGGAGTATATAAACTCTTTGTCCCAGATTATAAATAAAGTAGGTACTGAGAAGTTCGTTGGATGAACATGGACTTGAAAGATGATCCGAGTACACATGTTGGGTTGACAAAACTTGGAACAAATTTGAGTTAAAATGCCAATAAGATTACATGTAGATTTCTGCTGCCATGATTTCTGGGCATTCATACTCCCATTACTCCGTATTTAGATGTAGACATTTATATTAGGTAAAACTAAATACCTCTAGTTCAAAATGTAACTTTCTCTTTGATAACAGCTACGCTATGATGTTTAACAAATGAAAAAGTAAAAGAGAAAAATTGTCACGGATAGAGGGAGTATAACTGGAAAACTACAATTAAAGCAAATTTTGAAATGAAGAAAACGTAAATATATTTGTTGATATATGAAAAAATTATCCATCCAAGACTGTTGTTGCGAGTGGAGAAATAACATCTCACCAAGCACATTGTTTTCATCCAGTGCATCTTTAATTTGTGCAAAACAAAAAGGAACAATGCCAAAGAATATTCACTGCAAAGACAAATTAAAAAAGTTGTCCACAATTTGACCAAATTAATTTTTCATTGCAGAAATAAATTTACTGGCAACGAAAGGTATGATGAAATAATTAAAATGAAGTGTTACAAATCTTACAATAGAAGAACGAATGAAGTAGGGGTGGGTTCGGTTTTTGCGGTTCGGTTTTCACCCAAAACCAAAGACAAAACGGAAGGTAAATTGGCGGTTCGGTTCGGTTCGGTTTTGCATAAAAAATATGTAAACCGTTGGTTATTCGGTTCGGTTTTATACGGTTTTTATTTCGGTTTTTTTCGGTTTTTTCGGTTTATAAAAGTAGAAATTTATAAGCATTAAAAAATTGTAAAAACACTAACTCGACGGAGCAATAACAATATGTTGTGTTAGGTTTGGTTTTTTGGTTTGAGTGTTACACAAAAACAAAAATCAAACGGAAGGTTATTGTATCATTCAATTTTACATAAAAAAATATGTGTTGAGTACCCAACAAACATTTAGGAGATTCCAAATACTTCCAAAGACATCGTATGTAAAATTAATTACGAAGAATATGTGTTTTTTTGGTTTAATATTTTCATTTTCATTATAACATCAAAGTATTTTTT